CCCTACAAAAGGAAATACCCAAAGAACCCCGCCGCGCCACCGGCGGTCCCAGGCACACGTCCAATTTTCCGCATGAAGCGCCTGAGAAGCCACTCGTTCCCATCTTCACAGCGTCGTCCACACTACCATCCCCCGACTATTCGTACAGCTACTCCATCTCCCAGCCATTCAATTCACACCTCACCACCAGCAACTACAATGGCCCGCCGCGGCACAAGACTAAGCACCAAGACGGCACCATCAACGCCCATCACCACCTCAAGATCAACCCCAGCCGCAAGAGTCACAAACAAGGACCCGGAAACAATCTCGTTCCCCTCGCCGACAGACTTCAACGCCTGGCTCCTCACAAACGGCACAACCACCCCGTCGGGCATATGGCTCAAGATTGCGAAGAAGGCCTCGTGCATCCCGAGCGTCTCGTACGACGAGGCCATCGACACGGCGCTCTGCCACGGCTGGATCGACGGACAGCGCAAGGTCCTCGACGGGAACTACTTCGTGCAGCGCTTCACGCCGCGCCGCAGGAACAGCCTTTGGTCGAAGCGCAACGTCGACAAGGCAGCCGCGCTTGTGGCCGCGGGCCGCATGCACGACACGGGCATGGCCGAGGTGGATGCCGCCAGGGCGGATGGGCGGTGGGACAGCGCGTACGCGGGGCCGGCGACGATGCAGGTGCCGGCGGACTTTGCGGCCGCGTTGCAAATGAACCAGAAGGCGGGTGAGGCGTTTGAGCGTTTGGGGAGGAGCGCGAGGTTCCCGTTCTTGTGGAGGGTGACGACGGCCAAGAAGGAGGAGACGCGGCGGAGGAGGATTGACACGTTCGTGGAGATGCTGGCTAGGGGGGAGACTCTGACTTGAGCGTCGGTTGGTATTAGATTTTGCTAGTGGTATCATGGGCTGGATATGGTACAAGTGGCTGTGGACATCACCATCCATCCTCGTCTTCGTCATCGTCATCTCCCTCTTCGGCCATGACGTCCAGCAGCCCTTCATCGTCGTCGCTGTCGTCGTCGTCCTCCTCCTCCTCCTCTTCGTCATCGTCGTCTTGCGAGCCTTCTTCACTGCCAGACGACACGGGGTGCTCCTCTCTTGCCCTTTGCAATCTCTCAGCTAATGATATTCGCTTTGGCTGCTCGTCCTCTTCTTCTAGGTCACTATCAGATCCGTAGCCATCTTTTTCGTCTTCAGAATCAGAAGTCACTGTTTTACTTGACCTTGTTCTTGACCGAGCGCCGATAATCTCCACCTCGTCTTCGTCATCCAAGTCAACAGCGGCGCGTAGGTTTCCGATTTGTGTCTGTGGGTTATCCTCGTCGTCGTCTTCATCATCAGAGACGATAACGGCGTGTGACTGGCGGCCTCGTGTCTGCGGTTCCTCTCCATCGTCATCGTCACTCGAGTCCATCACAGCTCGTGATCGCACCCTCTTGGTCTGAGGCTCATCATCTTCGGAATCACTAACGATTTTCCTTTTTCTCGTCCTCTGCACCGGCGCAGTATCCTCTGCTTCATCGTCGTCAGAAACCTCTGGACTCGAAAACCGACCAGCATCCCCGGTGGGGACGATTTCATCCTCTGACGATTCGGACTGCTCTTCGATTTCCGAGTCGTCTATTCCTTCGCTCTCATATTCATTCGAATCCGTTTCCTCCTGAGACTCATCCTCGTCCGTGTCTTCTTCATCACTATCATCCTCGCTACCATCATCCAGCACCGGAATATCCTTCATCGCCCGTAGCTCCTCCCATTTCGCAATCCCACGCTCATACTCAAACACTACCATCGGTAGCACCTCCGTCCCAGCATCCTTGGCCGCCTGTAAAATGTCTGCCACCTCCTGGGTCTGTTGATAGATCCTCGGTATGGAGTGCCTGGCAAAGTCGGGATGCCGGTCAACATCCGGCCAGCAGTACAACACTTCTGTATCTTCGCCTAACCCAATCTCTTTCTGATAAGTCTGCACCATGTACCTGTGGACGTAGTCTGTCCCACACCACCGTCTTTGACGCTTTCTCAGCGTGTAGTGCTGCACGCAAACATACAGCCTCTTCAGGTTGGGAAACATGGCTTTTGCGTGAGTGATACGGGCGTTGTACGCCGCATATTCACGTCTATAGGGATATATTGCGGCCTGGCGCACCTCTTCTGCGAACTCAGGCAAATGATAGGTCCTGTCAATCACGAATTCATGCATGTTGACAACGTCCCTCTCTCTGTTGAACCATACGACTGCGTCTCCCGACCCGGCATCCATACGCAACTTATCAGGGAACCTCTTCAAAGCAATAGTTCTGGACTCCCTATGCGTCGCCAGCATGGCCCTCACCTCCTCCGTCTGATCAGCCAGCGACCAATGGTCCTTGACCGAGTAATCGTTTGGCCGTCGCATAGTCGCCGAGCTAGGCGACAATGTAAAGCACAAAACGCGTGCCTTGGTAATTATATCCGGGCAGAAGACTTCCCATACTCGCCGTCTCAGCTCTGTTGGAAGCCTCATAAATTGCGGGAACGCCGCCTGAGGTGTGTAGTCTGAGAAACTTGCGGCAGCAAAAGAGTCGGACTCCTCTGCCTCGTCGTCGATGAGGCGAACGCCATTCTGGGAGCCAGAATCGGATGACGCGTCAGAGTCGCTTCTGGACTCTTCGCTCGATGTGTTCTCGTCGGAGGTCATTTTCTCCTGCCAGCAAGGTGATGGCAACTGTGAAAAAAGGATGTTTTGAGATTCTTGATGCTCGGTTGCTTCTTTTCAGTGAAAGGCGATCTGCGCCGACGAATCATGTTCGCTAAGTAGTGGTGCTGACTCAGCAAGTAGGCGGCTTGGAGAGTTTTCGCCCAGTTTTCACAAAGTCATCTCGACGTCTGGTGAAGTAGACTGACTGCCAAAAAGCTGCAGTCCCGAGTGCTATCTCTCAGTCATGCGAAAGCTTCTGACCATCCCAGGCGGATAGCGGTGCAATCCGCTTCAGTGTTTCGCTTTTTTATACTCGATGGCCCCCAAGCACGCTTACTCACTCACTCACTTGACAATTTTCACTCACAAGCTCACAGTCCTCAACACACTGTGCGTAAAAATGCATCAATGTCTCCATAGTCGGGCGCCACGAAAGGGCCATCCTCACGAAAAGTCTCATTTCCCATCATACTGTCCCAAGTGCTTCATTGCAAGAATTCACGTCTCCGGTTATCAACGCAGATTTTTGCATGACCGAGTTCAATTAATTATCTTCTCATCATATGACGATTATATTCACATTATAGACTTACTCCGGCCACTTGGAACGAGTAATGGCTGGTGACAGAGGTATTTAGCCACGCCCTCAGGGTCGCAATTGTGGGCGAAGAATGCTTCCAATTCACAAGACGAGAGCCCCGACGGACTTGGGTCAGCAGCATTGCAGGCATTAACCCACTGAGTACAAATCATACATCACATCAATCCGATTGTTGTTCAAAACGTCGACCCTATTCAATATTATCAATAATACACGTTTGCCCTCTGGTATAGTCACCCCATTTACCCGCTAAAACAGAATTGGTGCACTTGATCACCGCCATCCCACAACGCCCAACCCATGCCGAGTGTAGAAATCAAGATAAATATTGCGAATGCTTCAGCCTGCCCAGACATCCAAAAAGTACCAGCCCCATGCCTAAACGCCGTTTGTTGTATGTGAGGATGGACCGACATATACAAGAGCCAGAATTCCGTTTTAATCGAATGCGCTCATCCAAACAAACATGCCCGCAGCACCGCCCAGTAGCAAGAATGTCAAGATGCCAGCGCCTGCCTTATCAGCGGTTGTAATGGGTTTCACCGGCCGTTCTCCGTTGTCCTTGCCGCCGGCGTTGGGGTTTCCTACCGACGTACCGCCGGTCTTGTTCGTTACTGGCTGTTCCGCACTCTCAATGAGAAGGCTTGATACGGCAGCTAGCACGTTCATTTGTTCTCCGGCTCCGGTAGTTTTGTCGGCGGCGGGATCGACGAACCGGCCTAAACTCCAGTAAAAGCCGCACTGTCGCTGAGTCGGACCGCCTGTGCATTGTTTGATAGCTGCTTCAGTAGATTTGCGGAGGACAGGTAAAATTTTATCTTTGGTATATGGGGCAATCTGGCTTGTCACTGCCAGCCAGCGGTGAAGAAATCCCTTGTAGGACAACATGTCGGGAGTGCATGTTCCACTTCCATTATCTCTTTCGCAAGCCACTTCGAAAGCAATGCCTTTGGGGAAGAAAGTCTTCAGCGTAGCGTCTAAGAGTCCGTCTAAGGCCGTTTTCCACTTCTGGGCTCCATCAGTCTTGCGTGAAGTCAGTACTTGTTTGTTGGTTACGTGTCAGACCATTTTTCGGCGGATACACTTACATAATTGTACAGGAAGGCAGCTCCTTGAACCAAAACACCAGCGTTGTATGAAAAGGTCGCCTTGTTGATGTCGGTGCAGTTTTGGGCCACGTGGGCACCATCGTACGCATGCCAGGACTTGGAATCAATATATCCCACTCCCACCATCCAGTCCCAAGCCTTCTCTGCACGTTTTGCGTACGTGTCGTTATTGGTATATCGGGCAAGACGAGCACCCATGTTGAAAAATATCCCGTTGGCAATGGCTGCTACCCGTCAGTATACCCGCCCTGGCGACACTCAAGATCAATCAAGACGTACTGTTCTTGTATCCATAGCCTTGGTTGGAAAACGGAATTTGCCATCTTAGTCCTCCGTTGCACGTCTCGTCATATCGACTAGGGTCAGCCTGGGTGTTCCAAACAGCCTGTGCGAGCGCCAACCACTGAGGCTGATCTGCTGGAGGATCGGGAAATTTATTTTCGGCGGCCAGCATGGCAGACAAGCCCCAAAATCCTTGATCATCGTTTCCCAGGGACATTGTGTGGTTGTTGGGCATGTAATTCTTATTCTCGCCCACCTGGTGTAGCATTCCCTCCATGACGACTTTGTTGTAGCTCGAGTCACCAGTCAACTTCCAGTAGTCGATATAAGTTCCCATCATGGCACCACCTTCCCACCAGTAATACGGACCCTTTCCATCAGCAGGGGGCCCAGGTAGAATACCGGGGATTTCTCCGGACTGGTTTCCTTTGTAGAGTAGCATTAAGTCGTAGGCTAGCGTTCGAGCTGATTCCTTGATGGCGTCTGCACATTGTCAGTATGCGACAGACCCCAGTAACTTTTGCAATACCCGAAAATGTCCAGTAATAATAAATCGAGGGGAGAACCTCATACCTTCCGTGTCAATTTTGTAATACTGAGCACCCGTCGTGCCAATGAGCAGGGTACCAGCGAAGGCAAGCCATGCTGGCGAAACCAGCGATGAGAACATGGCGTCGGGCTGGGTGATGACGAAGCGAAATGGAGCGAGTCAGGATGAAACCAAACGCTAATTACAGAAGTACTTGCGTCTCCCTTTCGCCTTATCGGCTGTGCAGAGAGCCCAAGAATTTAAAATGACTATTTCAACACTTGCACAACAGAAGACAATTGGCGTTCGGCGTCGATGGGTGGTTCGCAGTTGGGCCGGAGTAGTTCGAGGTAATTATTTGCGACGTGATAGATAGATACAGCGAGCGGCGGCAAAAGCGAATGGAAAAACGGAAGAATTCGACGGCGAATAATGTCAGCGAGGGCGTTGGCGATTGAGTAAAAAGAAGGTACTGTCGAGGCAATGGAGACACCGTTGGCAAAGTGTGAAAGAGAGGAAGGCTCGAGCTAAAAGTCAAGTGACAAGGCACCAAGCATTAGGGAATAAACACTGAGCTAGGCATCTAGGGAAATGTCAAGAAAATTGGGCGGGAGAAGAGCCCAGAAAACCAGATACGGTAGCAGATGCTAAGTTGGAGAGTCGTAAGGTACCAGAGACACCAGTTTGAAATTGCCAAGCAGAAATAAGCACAATGTTTATTACAAGAACAAGAACGGCGGAGCCCCCCTTTTTAAGAGGCGTCTCTAGTACCGCTTTACATATTACTTCACATGCGCTTGGCTAGCGACCAAGACTCTTGGCGGAGGAGACAGCAGTGCGGCAGCTGCTCAATAAGAAGGCATAGATTCGGCTTCAAACATTGAGCGAGGTCCTTTTGCCAAGGCCGAGGCGCTGGGCAGGGGGTGGGCTGTGCTTCGATTGGGGCACGGGACCAGGCAAAAGGCAGACAGCGGCATGACAAAAGAGAATTTGATGGCTGGTCTTGGCGCTCTGGGAAGCATCTAATCTTGGCGTGATCTTGGCGTGCCAAACAGACGAAAAGGAGCACGGCGGCAGGGCTTGGCCATGGCGACAAGAATTGACTCTGCGCGTCAGTGCTTGTAGTTTCTCGGTTGCTTATTCGCCAATCGAAGGTGGGTATCGTCATTAATCGTGGTCAAAGACGTCGAGTAGGGAATGCTGCATCTCCGAAGCCAGCGGCAACGATTGATTGACCATGGACCAGGCCATGTGCCGGGTGTACGGAAATATTAAGGTAACCCATTAAGGTTGATTTGGGTTGGTGTTGTTGTGCAAGTAGGGTCAGACTAATGCTGGTTGGAATCCCAGTTGAGGCGGCGAGTGCGGCCACCATGTCTGGTCTGCATGGGCTATCTTCTATGGTGCCCACAAAATGCACATACCAGACAGAGACTGAAATAGGCGAGTGTACTCGTACTTTGACTCCGTATTCCGTGCTAGTACCACTCACTACTAGTGACTATCGCTAAGGTGCGATTATTATGGGGCCTATACCTTTAATTAAATTTACTAGGTAAATATGTCATAATATTATAAGGTACATATACAGAAATTTTTTTTACTTTTTGCCGCGTCACGATCTTCCTGCCAATCGTGCCAAAGCCGATGTTGAAGCTGTTAAAGCTCATCGCGGCCTTCGTCAACGCACCCGTCAACGCGGGCAAAAAAGGCCTCAATTTAATACGTATCGCGTGACACAGCTAAAAGAGCCTCGCGGCGTAACTATTAATAACTTATTAGAGAAAAACCTTAAAGAACCGTGAATTATCGTAGAAACCCAAATATTGCTAAGATAACAGGATCGTTATAGACGTGGTTTACTATACTCCGTAATCGACACCGTTCAAGAATCGAGGGTCTGTGAATGCGTCGTTTGGCTACATCCAGCTTTGGTTCCCCCGGGCGGGGAGAATTAACTACAGGGTAGTCCGACGAAATAGTTCCATGGGCGTGCCCAGTTGCACCGTCACCGGCACTCGACGTTCGATGAATGGAATACAGCTTAGATGGAACAGCTTGTCCATGCGCATAATGCCAGTCAAGAGGAAGAAGAATGTAAGAATGTTTGGTCGATTGTTGGTGTCATTGTTCTCGCAGCAAACTGGGAATGTTGGGATTGTGTGACCTTGGTTGACAAAAACAGAAGGCGTAACCCCCAATAACAGAAAATCTGACCCAATAAAATCCGTGTCTGCCAAAATATCCTTAACATGTCGGCACGCGAGTATCATATTTCACGGGAAACTCGACAGCGTCGCGCAAACAAGCATTAGGTTTCCCCCCCCCCCTTTTTTTTGCCATCTACTATCCTGGCCAGTGCCGATTCCCTATCTCCAAACTATCCTGACAGACACGCTAAACTTTTATTTCCACAGAGAGGCAATTCCTGCGCGCGCGGATCCCTGTTTGAAGAAACCCATCATCGTTGCCAAGTTACGCACCTTCATCGCCTACATGCAGTTTCTTCGGTCCAGTTCACGGCCATCACAACATTGGCAGCGTACGATACTGACGGAGTACGTGACGCCTCCATCTCAACCGCCCATTTAAGCACATGGGAAGCGCCCTATTCATCCAGTGACACCATCTTGATTTCTGGCCCTGCTGGAACAATCAATGGTCCTTGGTCCCCAAAGACAATCTTGTGACGCGAGTGGGCATATCCATAGCCATACTTGCCGATATATGGCGCCGTCGTCTTGTGGAAAGCTCCTCGGAAACCACCGTCCTCATCTTTGTTCCAGTACAGCCGACGCAGCCAGAGATGCAGTCGCGGATAATCGTGTCGAATCATTTTGAGGTCGCAGAGGAAAACCGGGTGATATGCAACATCAAACCGAGCCAATGTGGTGTATAATCGGATATCTGCTTCTGTCAAATGATCACCCAGCAGGAATTGTTTACCGTGTTCGAGTGTCTTTTCCAACCTGTCAAGAGACTTGAACAAGATGCCGAGGTTCTCCTCGTACGACTCTTGAGTCTTGGCGAAGCCAGTCTTGTAAACACCATTGTTCACCGTATCGTACACCCAAGCGTTGAGCTCATCAATTTGCGGCCGTAAATGTTCGGGGTACAGCCCCCCGCCTGGTCGATTGGCTTCTCGCAGATTTTCGGGCAGGAGGTGATCAAATTCCGAGTACAGCATTCGACTGATCTCGGATGACTCGTTGTTTACGAGTACATCAGCCTTTTTGTCCCACAGCACAGGAACAGTGTAGCGGCCATCATAATTGGGATCAGCTTTCAAATAAAGCTCCCTCAGCTTCTTGAAACCATGCAGCGGATCTTCAGGGAGCGAGTCGCCCTCTCCACTGAAATACCATCCGTCCGGGCCCATGACAAAGTGCACTTGGTACACATCAATGATGGATTCGAGGCCTTTGAGTAGGCGAACAATGAGCGTTCTATGAGCCTGCGACGAAATTAGCACCAGACATCTGGTAGGCACTTAAACACCTCTCTGCACACGCACCCATGGGCAACCAGGCGATACGTATAGTGCATATCGTCCAGCTTCAGCTGGAAACTGGGACTCTGGGTCCCTGGAGATGAAGTTGCGAAAAGTGCTGTCCGGTCTTACGAAGCGACCACCAGCATGGTAGTTTTTCTGAACCCAATGTCAGAGACGCAACATCGCCGGCTTACAATTTTGCATTAGGTACTTACCCCGACGGTTGTAGTCGCCATTGTGTTGCCGTATTAAATTGCACGGAGCACCAAGTTGCGCCAGAAGACAATGAAGGCAGCTACTCTACTAAACTGCGAAACCATAGGAACCAGCTAGATTGCGTCCTTTATATCATGTCTCTACGTCAACGTCGCATTCAATGGCACCACTGTGACGTGGGGTTGCTGTTCCACTGCCGATGACAAATCTCCCACCACCGTATTGTTCAAATACTAATTTACCGCGCGCTAGTTGAGACTGATTGCTCCAGTACTTACGGAGTCAGGAGCTTCATTATCAATCTGGGGGGCGTTCCGAGCTTGCCGACCAGCCAGAAAATCGAAACAGTCTCAAAGAATGACCCGGCCGCTTTGCGACACCGTATGTTGCCGGGGTAGATTCTTTCGTACCTTGCAGTCACAATAGGAACAGATGGCGCTGTCAACAGATGGCGCTGTATCGACGGCTTCGGCAAGCGGATATTTCAGTTGGAGCGCCTCCACCACCAATAATCACAGCCGGCTCATGTAGTCGAGCCTAGCAAGGCCATTCGCTAAAGCTACACTCTGAGAGCAGAGCTAGTAGTGATGTAGGGAGAGGTTTGCTTGTGGTATACGCCGGCTATAAAGTAGTAACGTTGCGGTTGAAACAAACTGGAACCAGAATGCTCGTGTTTCTGCTCAATATATTGTCCTCGTCTCCATTGGAGCTCACGGCCTGATTCGGCACAGACTACTAACCCAAGAGAAATCCAGATGATACCAGGATCGCAAGTGGCATCGACAAGCCAACATCGCGACCATTGTGTTAGCGACAGCGCTGAAGAGCCTGTTAACTTGACGTTCGCTGCCGTGAGAGAAGGTCGCCAGCGGACTTGGAAGGCCACGCCACTGAATGAATGATTGGAGGCGCAGAGGACTAATGGAGGTCATTTGCCACAGTCGTCAAAAGGAACAGCCGGTTGCCTGGCTGATCATGGAGCAGCGGGCAAGGATACCAAAGTGAAAGTCGACGTAATCTGGTAACACAAACTTCATGCCTCGATCAAAAGATACAGACACCACAAGCGCGCCCAACATGCCGGGCCTGTCATGGCCCCCAAAAGCTTAGCCATGACGAACAAGCATGGCCATGTCGAGCACGCATTACACTTTTGCCGTGGAAGAAGATGAATGTGGAGTAAGTTTTGTAGATGGGTTCCGCAAGGATGCCGGTGTCGGCATTTATGGTTAACTGGTCAACTGGTGTCATAACGACTTTGATATGGTCGGTCCTTCTACACACGTCTTGTCAGACTCGAAAATTCTAAGAAAAGGGCACCATGGCACTGTCTACGCGGGCACAAGTCCTATCCAAACCAGATCCCAAATTCTTCTTCTGGGAAGTCCTCCAGGACATCTGGGACCCGCAGAACAATCCCAATGGCTTCGTCAATCTTGGTGTAGCAGAGAATGTCCTCATGCACGACATACTCTCAGAACACATGCACAGAAACATGGCCCTGCCAAACGAGGACTTCACATATGGCGATGGCAAAAAGCGTCTCAAGCGTGCGCTGGCCCGGTTTTTGACTAGATACTTCGATCCTGTTGTCACAGTCGAGCCCTCACACTTGACCATCTCGAACGGCTGCAGCTCGGCCCTCGAGCACGCGGCGTGGGCATTCGGGAACCCGGGCGACGTCTTCCTCCTGGGGAAGCCGTACTACGGGACCTTTGTGCCGGACGTGACGTTGCGTATGGGCACGCAGCTCGCCATGGTGGACTTTGACGATGCAGATCCCCTCGGCCTAGACGGCGTGCTGAAATACGAGGACGCGATACGGGATGCGCAGGCAAAGGGCAATAGAGTCGCCGGGTTGATCCTGGCACATCCCCACAATCCTCTGGGACGAAGCTATCCTCGCAAGGTGCTGCTGGCACTGATGAGGCTTTGCCAAAGGCACCAGGTGCACCTGATATGCGATGAGATTTATGCACTGTCCACGTTTACCAACACGGTCGACCAGGAAGTCGAGGTTGCCCCCTTTGCGTCGGCGCTTTCTATTAATACCGCGGGAGTCATCGACCCTGCGCTCGTGCACGTCATCTGGGGTATTTCCAAGGATTTTGGAGCCAACGGGCTGCGACTGGGAGCCATCATATCGCAGAACAACCCGGGCCTGCACCAGGCGCTGGTGCCGCCGTCGCTGTACAGCTCGTCGTCGTCGATATCCGACCATGTCGTGGCGAATATTCTAGAGGACGACGCCTGGATAGATGAGTATATTCTAAAGAACCGGGAGAAGCTGGCAGAGAGTTACGAGCATGTTGTGCAGTGGGCGCGGAGCAACGGCATCGAGTATGCGCCGGGGGTGAATGCAGCCTTTTTCCTGTGGGTGGATCTGGGGAGTGCGTATCGTGGACGACGCGCAAATGATGGCCGACATGTCGACCACGCGGTTAATGATGCCCTGCTGCGGCAAAGAGTGTTCCTTGCGTCGGGGCTACAGTTTGGCTCGGAGAAGCCGGGGTGGTTCAGGATCGTGTTCACGCAATGGAGGGATCATCTGGATGAGGGATTGAGGCGGATTGTAGCGGCCATGAATGAGGTGTAGACAGACGGGTGTACTCCGTACGCAATGGATGTATGCATTTTAGACGAGTCTGGTGCTTTGGAATTGTGCGGATGCATATACTGATCAAGGGGCATCGTGAGAGAGACTGGAGGCTGGCCCATGGATCCCAATGGATCAACACGAACCAGCCAAGCATTACGCGCCCTCTTTTTTCTGTCGCCTCTTGCGCTTCCATGCAGCATCATGGCCTTGTTCGCTTCTGCCACGGGTCCATTGGACGCATTTCGAGCGCATCTCAAGCGCCCATGACCAGACAAGTCGACTGCAGGGATGATGAAACAGCGCCTCTGGACGGCCTTTGGATTGATTGGATTTTGGCAGCCGCTGTGAAACTCTGCAACACGCCAATTGTCGCAGCAATGCCCTTCTGCCGCCCTCTGGCACTCGCTGGGCCATCTGTTTCGCTGTTCCTCGACCAGCGATCGGCCCCAGGGCACCCTGAGCTTTATCCGCCCTGCCTCAAGGGGTCATGTATTGACATGTTGTTCCCTGAGGCTCTACATGAACTGTTCCCCTGCCTCATCATGCCTTTCCCCACGACTTTGCCTGCTGCTCGTTGGGCCGCCCAGAACCCCGGCACAGACTGCCTCCGGATGGCCCAGACCCCTTCGGTCGCGTCAAGCCTGTACCTACCTGCTTTACCTGCTTTTTGCCTGCTTTTACTCCGTGGTCGTTACTCATCCTGAGGATGCTGGGCACGCAAGTCGGCCGTGAGACACATGGCGCAGGCCTCCTGAGTCCTCTTACCACCGTCGTGTTTCTGAACCCTTCGTGTCGCAGTGTGTTTACCCGCTTGCTGCGTACGTAGTTGGTAGTGCGTGCAGCTTGTGTCGTGTGTCTGGTTCGTGGCCTCGGTCTCATCTCGTTAGACGCCTTGTGCCAATTTCTCCAAACATTGTCCCTTTTGTACCCTTTCCTTCTCCCCCCCTTCTTCCGGAAAATTTTCAGTATTATAATTTCACCGACGGTCGCTTTCTCCCTTGTTTACTTTTCGATATCTTTTTTTTTTTTTTTTCATTTTCCGGCCATCCCGGGGGTTGGGGTCTGCGATCCCGGGGACCAGCATTTGGCCAAATTAGTCTCGGGGGTCAAGAAAGCCGCCATCTCCATCCCTTCTAGTCCGTCTAAGTCAGACACTGACGAGCTATCACGGTTGCTCTAACCCCGCCGCCTTTACACCTGCGAATTTCACATAGCTTTCATTTTTTTCTCCTCCTTGGTGCTTATAGACGAGACGAAGCGCTCTCATTTTTTTTCCCATTTCAGCGAGCCTTTGAGGAGGGAAACGGTACCTTGTTTGTCGGCTGGGGCGACAAAGTGTTACAAGCATTCACTTTTCTTGTCTTATTGTTAAACGACTACACGACTGGTGTGAATATTCTGCATGGGAGCGAGAATCTTATAACGGCTCGGTGAACCATGATATCAGCTCTTTGACACGCCTCAAGTTCGACAGACTCTATCCGACATCATGGCACGAGGGGACGGTGCGATGGAGAGGCTGCGGGCTGACCTCTTGCGGCGGGCTCGAAACGAAAGACGAGCAACCGAGCATGTTGAGCGGGATATTGGCGTGGCACAGATGAATACAGCCGGGGACTCGGCAGTGGCAGAGGCATCGACATCACGGCAGAGAGCCATCCTGGACAGGATACCTGCTTTCCCGCGAAGGCCTTCACGGCAAACTACAAACGACGACGGTCCGAAATCCCCAGAACAGCCCCCACAACGACTTACATTCGCCTCGTCAAGATACAGCGAGTCCGGACACCCTCCGAGTTCTTTGCCATCGCCCATTCCAATGGGACCGTTGGAGCCGCAGCGGCCATTACCCCCCCAGCCCGTAGCCTCGACAGCACGACCGAGAGATTCGCTCAGTCGCCTTGGGTACGGCGACAACCCCCCCGAACGGCCGATGATAGTCGCCATCAGCCCGGAGGATCAGGAGCAGCCGCCGTCCCAGGACGCCGGCAGCCGAGACAGCAGAAAGCCGCACCCGAAGAAGTTCATGTTCTGCTTCCCGTGGGTGAAGTCCCGCCGCGTCCGCTCCCAGATCCTGACATGTTTCGTGTCGGGCATGTTTCTGGCCACGCTCCTCGCTGTTTGTAAGTAGCAAAATTCTCTCTCCCCTTTTCCCTTTCGTGTGTCGGCATCATCCATGGCGTCTATTACGCAGACAGTTCCGTTCATGGTTACTGAAACCCCCCGGGGGACCCAGATCTAGGATTAGCTTTGACCAACCACATTGCCCGCGGGGAGGTGACCATTATGATCATACTGGTCATCCTCTCCGCCACGCTGTTTTTCTGCTACAGCGTCGTGCGCCTCTGCGTGATGGTCTCGCGCGGCGACAGGACACGGAGGCGACACGGAGGCGCCGGCTGCCGGAGATGCTGGGGCCGGGCGGCTACGTGGTGCCCCCGAAGCCCATCCCCGTGGTGCTAGCGAGGGACGAGGAGGCCGCGGGCATTGAGAGCGAGGCGGCCCAGAGCCGACCCCCGGCGTATGGCCTGTGGAGAGAAAGCGTGGTAGGTTGATGACTACTTTCTTTCCCTGCGTTTTATCTTGCAGCTATCATGATCTATATGAGGGGTGATGGTTTTGCTAATGGAACCCCAGCGCGTTGATCCCAACCGGCTGTTTTGGCAGCGCAATGAGGCCGCAGAAGGCGAGCCACGGCGTCCAGACACGGCCACCGGGCCGAGGCCCCCGTCGTATGCCTCCGACGACGGCATCTCGTACGTGGTTGAGGCCCGGCCGCGGTCAATGGCGCCCCCGCCGCAGACGTACACTGTCTCAGTGGCGGGGGTGCCCCCCGTGCCGCCGACTCGAATTGCTGGGGACTGAATGGTTGTATCATATGCGGTCAAGAAATGGATATACTTTACGAAAGCCGTGCAACAAATGAAATCTTCTTTTTGCTTCCAGAAGCTATCATGGTCATGAGTCTTGGGGTAATCAGGCTGCACTTGGCTCAGGGGAGGCGCACCAGACATGACTCAACATTAATGGTCATACTGCTGCGAGAGTAGCTTTGAGCTGGAGATGGTCTTGCGGTGGCCGCAAGATATGAACTACACGGGTATGGCTCTGGCAAGGTCAATAGTTTCTTTGCCCTGCCTCTCTAGCCACGTGGTTGTTTTGAATGATGGGGAATCGTGCAATCGTGCATGACACGTGTACACAAACTCGGTGTTAGTCACCGGCAGGTCATCGACGGATTTGGCGCGAGCCTCATACCCACGACGCCACCGCTAGGGTCAAGTGAGGCTCTCGAGAGCTACTACTGCCGCATGCACCGCCGTTTACCCCTAGCCGAAGGTTGCTTTTGTGGGTTGGGTATTGTAACTGGGTTTGCATCGCGACGATCTGTCCGCTTATTTAGCATGAACCATGGGTTGTTCTGAAATTGGTCCGGCACCGGTGTTGTAGCTAGTAGAGCGTGTTATGAAGTGCATCAGTCACATTTGAGTCTGGCGCTCACTGTATAGTTGGTCGTAATTGGTGGAAGTTCTCGGGATCATAAATGGAGAGGCGGGGGGAATTCAGACGTTCCGAGAATATAAGCGTGCTTGGTGTGTTGTCGGCATTTTGGTTCGAGTGTGGTCCGGTGCTGGCTGCGTGGATGGTGTCTTGTAGCTGGGGTCCTGTGGAGGCTGCGCCTGATACACGGAGACTGTGTAGCTGGATGGCTGGCAAGGAGAAACATTACGTCCAAAGAAGCATGTAGGCGTCCTCGAAATGGTACGGATACATCTTCGTTTTGCATCGTCAGTCCCCCGGTAGCCAGGTAGCGGATCCGCGCGTGGGAAGTACGGAGTAGTCGTGGTCTGATCCCCTGAGCTGTAAGGAGGTTACGTTTGATCCCTGATAGCGCTATTGGATGATTTGTGTAGCTTAGTTTAAATCTGACGTATGCGGCATTCAGGCAGTTTGATATTCAGATTATTCTCTGCTTTGCACGAGGCAAAGTGGGTTGGTAACCTCGGTTAGCTGCCTGGGGGGTTTAAGTCCCTTTTATATCACGATCCCAAGAGCCTCTCTTGCTAGCTTGGATGAGAAAAGAGTTTCTTCCAATTGAACAAAGTTTCTTAATGAAGTATTAGTTCATGGGTCGTGGTTGAGTTTTGTGATATGACGGAAGTTGGTTGGAAAGGGAATGGCACGTGTAGCTCAAGTGCCTAATCGTAGTAGTCGGGCGGTGAGGCATTAAAGCCAAGCCGACAGACACATGTGAGCGGCATCGCTGTGGAGTGATGAACGGACATCGGACGCTTATTACCAACGGGCCAGCAGCTGAAATTACAATCAAGGAAGAGTTGAAATTACCATCTTCAAAGCTCTCGGCTTCCCCGCCTTCCAAGCTTTTATGCAGGAGCCACTAGGCCGAAATTGGCAGGAAAAAACACCTCCGAGCTACCCAATACGTGACGCTACGTACTCTATGGACAAAGTAGACGCAAGGTCGCCGAAAAGAAATGCTAGAGCTGACCAATTATCAGTACGGAGGAAGTTTGCCCAACGCAGCGTCTGGAGATTGGAAGTTGCACCAAAAAAAAAAAAAACTGCAGACCGCCAGCATTTTCTATGGCGACAATTATCGTACTCAATCCTCCTGGGATTCTAAGTTTATGCGGGTACGGAACAGCGCAGCTTCTGCGGACAAGAGTGAGGAAAGTTGATCCAGGCCCAAATCCAAGAGTCCGGGAACTCCGTACTTAAACACTCAAGTACCTCCCTAAGCTTGGGGAATCTAGGCGTACCAAGATCCCAGGCCTCTTTTGCCCGCGGCTCTTCCTGCAAATAGTAACGGAGTACAGGCGCCTGGCCTCATGCGCCGGTAGTTTGTCCTAGATTATCATGCTAGTTGGACGAGTAACAATGCCACGCTCCTGCATGGCGACGTTAGAGAGTGACGGGCACGCGGGTTGCAAAAAAGGCCGCACACCCGCACCTACAACCACACACACAGTTGTGCGGCCTTTTTTGCAACCCGCGTGACGGGTTCATGTCCTCCAGTCCCGTGTTATTCGCGCCCGCCCCTTGCTTGGAACCTTTGGCGCCTGGTTTTTCAGTAGGGCCCACTTTTCGGTCCAGACGCAGCCCTCAAGCCGCCCCAAACGCCGGAGCCAACGCTGCTGCTGGTCCTTCCTCGATGTCCCCCGTCCTGTCTGGTCGCATTGCTCTTGCCCCGGCTATGCCCAGCGCCAGCGCCAGCGACCACCAGGACCACTGCCTTCCCACCCCTTCGTAATTAATTATCCGCCCGTCGTGCAAAATTTTCTTTTTGTCCCTTCACCATTTTTCTTCGACGGAACGGAATTGTTAGGTGGTTGTCGACGTTGTCGTGGCCTCGCTTGGAAGTCGAAGTACCTTTTTACGTTTTCTCATCTTAACGAATTTTTTTTCCTTTCACGCTGCTTAACGCTTCCATCCATTTTTTTTGTCCTACCAAAGGTGTGTGATGATGTGCGCTCCCCCTATCCTCCCTCCCCGTTCCCGGGCTCTGCTCTACAAGTCCTTCGCGATTCGCTCCCCAACTTTGCGCGCTCCTGCACCAACCCGACTCCGTTTCGCCTGCTTGTCGCCCGTCTCGTCATGAAAGCTCAGTGGAAATTCGACCAATGGACCCTTTTTCGGCGCGCTCCGTCTAGAGTTGGCGGCTTTGCGAAAAGTCAAACCTCTGGGAGCGTCTTTGTCCTCGCCGCACGGCCACCGCACACCGTCGCGAATCTAGTCATTTAACTTGGTTCGACCATCGCCAGACCGTCATGCTTGTGCCTTGAGCAGTCCTGAGCCTACGCGACTGGTACTTGCGGCCATTTATCACCGAAACGATAGCATTCGCGCACAGCACTGGAGTGATGATGCATTGAATCACCAAATGCAGCTACCGCAACGAGGACAATAGTCGTATCATCTCCATGTGACAGATCTGGCGTGTATCTCCCAGCCCGACGCAATGGTCGCACCAGCCCGTCTACATGCATGGTGGCTTTGACGGGGCTTCGACTTGTCGTCATGTGACGATCCAGGCCAACCGAAAACAGGCCTCCTTGTTGTCTCCCAGCCCCTGCGAACTCTTATATATTCGTGGCATGCGCCAATTAATCAACGAGACTGAAGATGAAGAAAAATTCTTTTAGCCGTTAGCATTTCATATTCCTGGCAAAAGATCACACGCTCCTTCAGGACGCAGCCTAGCATCAACTCGGTAGCAATAGAATTGATGACTTGGTTGGGGGCAGTCAAAACCTCGGCTACGAGGAGCATTCCGAACACAAAGAGCGAGCTATTTATACTGGAATACTTGATTGTATTGCTAACTGAAATATTGTTACAGACACTAAAATCTCCAGCAATATGTCTTCTCTCTCTCGTCGTGCCTGCTACAAATGCGGCAATGTCGGCCACTATGCCGAAGTTTGCTCTTCATCCGAGCGCCTATGCTACAACTGTACGATTCCCTCTGGCGCCGACTTGCGCGACCACCGATCTAACAAACTTTATGTATAGGCAAGCAGCCTGGCCATGAGTCCAACGGCTGCCCCCTTCCTCGAACTACTGAGGCAAAACAGTGCTACCACTGCCAGGGTCTCGGTCACGTTCAAGCCGACTGCCCTACCCTGCGCCTTAGCGGCAGTGCTACCAGTGGACGTTGCTACAACTGCGGCCAGCCTGGTCATCTGGCTGTGCGTATTTCCCGACTGGTAAATCTTGACCAAAACCTTTGCTGACATGCCATACCCAGCGCGCGTGCCCTAATCCGGTTGGCCCAATGGGCCGTGGTGCCCCCATGGGACGCGGCGGATTCGCCGGCGGCTTCGCTGGACGCGGTGGTTTCTCTGGCGGTCCTCGTCCTGCTACCTGTTACAAGTGCGGTGGTCCCAACCACTTTGCTCGGGATTGCCAGGCTCAGGCCATGAAGTGCTACGCCTGCGGCAAGCTCGGCCATATTTCTCGCGACTGTACCGCTCCCAACGGCGGCCCTCTAAACACTGCAGGCAAGACTTGCTACCAGTGCGGCGAGGCTGGTCACATTTCTCGCGACTGTCCTCAGAAGAACGCCAGCGGTGAAATCGCTCCTGAAGTCGATATGGGAAGCGTTCCTGCTGCTCAGGCACCGGGGGCTCCTATTGCCCCCGTGGCTTAAATTCAACATTCGTGATACGTCTGTCCCTTCTGACCCTTTGCGGCCACACACTTGCTCGACTGGCTACGTGGCCCATCGGAAGGACAGACACCAAGGCTCCTTGAACGTGCGTATCTCGAACTGTTCCGCCGGCACTCGTATGCCAAGTGGACTGTTGCTGGTGCGCCCTTTGTAGGAGGATCGATGTTGCCTGCAGTTTTGCGAATTTTTGTCTTTCTGTTTTTCCGAGCTCATCAACACTTGACTTGGTATTGCCTGGATATTTCCTTGAAAAATGGTTGTTCTTTTCAATCAAAGCATGATCCATCACTGCCATATCCTCAGGCAGGGGGCCTTCTATGACGTCTCTCTCACTCTCTCTATTTTTTACTCTTTTTGGGACTCTGATTGGGAAGAAAAAAATCCTGGGTCTTGTTTTTACCCCTTGTTTTTCTTAATTTTGAATACGGATGGACGACCTTGACCCGGATTCAATGTCAGAAGGCAGGTTGACTAGACCAGCCGACGATGCCTTGGAACTACTTGCTTACGACACCGTCCGGCGAGACCAGCAACGACAAATTTACGCAGGACGCGTGCAAGATTGTCCTGCACAATCTATGTGCCTTTTTTATTTTTTTACTTGCCGCACATTTTTCTCTGTCGGAGCACCCCCTTGCCTACGCCAAACCGCTTCGCCGTCTTCTTCCTTTTC